AAAACTTCCTTCTAGGTTGTACAGCACTGGTCTGTCCATTTGCTGTACAGAGGTAATTTGTGGTTGGTGTGATGCTGAACACTGTGACATTGATTTGCCAAATGTGATAATGGTTACCCATAGTGGATAGTGTTTGGTGGACCTTCCCAATTAAAAAAAGCTTGGAAGCAGGAGTGGCATCCACTTCTGAAATACCTTACCTCCGGAAACCCTATGAACCTGGAGAAACGATGAAAGTTATACAAGTGTTTAGGTCTTTCATCCATGGGGTTGTTTGAGTCACCTATTACTTGACAACACTTAACAACAACAGAGGTCTATAGTTCCAACTAGGTACACTTGGCACCCAAGTTCTTAGATTTTGCATCTATTTCAACATTGAAAACTCAATTTATTGTCTTCCTTAAGGAAAAATTTCAACATGTTTCTATGAATCACTTAGTATTAAAAAACAAAAGCAAATGAGCTATCAAATAAATGCAAAATTTAAAGCAAAGGGCCTCATATTTATTTCTCATTTAAAGCACAGGACCTTATATCCATGTCCCTTCATTAGCTACTATTTGTCTTCAGTCAAGATTTCTCAGTCAACAAGTCATACAGATCCACACCTCAAAGAGGGCTCATAGCATGCTTCCAAAGGCCACAGCTATTGGAAACGCTATGGAATACAGATCAGTTCTGAAATACTTGGATTATCATACATTTTAATAGACTCAACAGCAATTATTGTAGAGTTAAATTAACCTCAAAGCTCAATCACCTTCAAGTTTCAATGATAGAGATAAGTACTTGTAACTCTGTATTTCAGCTGACATGCCTACTGACCAGAGAAAAGTGTTGAGTGGACAGCTTGCTAAAACGTCTATCTGCACACAGAACCAGAGCCCAACTCAAATCTGAAGCTTAGTTCTGGAGTGAGAGATGGAGCGATAAGGAGCATTGGGATTCCTAGTATTTAGCAAATATTTTCCATGATGCCATAGTTCTGTGCCTCATAGAAAACTTTTTTATGTGTCAGAAATCTTCTTAGCTCCTGGCCATTTTCAAGAGAAAGGTAGTATGATACAAAATCGAAGAACTTCATATCTTGCAAATTCTGTTAGAGATGCTCTTAACAGTTAACACCTGGAAACTGTGAATAACAACAGCCTTTTAAAAAGATTAGAAATGGTCTTAAATGATTTTGGACATAATATTTTTCCTCCATTATGCACAAGCATAACACAGTACCTTTTCTACAATTAATACAGTACAAGACAATTAGAGTGAGCAATTAATTACCTTTGAGATTCAGTTTTTCTTTTGTGAGAAATAAAAAACACACCAATTTTTTTATTGCTGTCAATTATTCAACTATTCAGAAAAATTTCTCAATTTCTTAAGTTTTAAAAAGAAAAAAATCATTTCATTTCCTTTCCAGTGTAGTGATACGTATTATAAACTAATAATATGACTAGGTAGCCAAAGGTTACCTAGGGAATAGAACTGCTTTCTAAATCCAGAAATAAATCCCTTAACAATGAGGGAAGCATCATTTGTTATTTTATTATTTTCCTAATAAGCAATTTCTTGTCAAATCAGCCAAGCATTAAAATAAGCATTTATCAACCTTTTACTTTGACATGTATTTTTTCTAATTTAACAACTCAACTTATTGTTCTGTACTGTCAAGCTAGAATCTATTCATAGTTGACCCTCTAGTGGGTTTTCAGAGGCAGTAAATCAGACAAGAGGAAAAGGCACATTTTTCTCCTATGGAGTAGCTGAGCACCTTTGGGTTGGCAGTGTAACTCTTTACCAGTAAGCCACTAAAGTTCCCTAGCAATTTATGTTGGGGGCACTTAAATGTTTTCAGGGTCATTAAATGTTTTCAATAGAGTGGAAGAATATTAAAGTAGAAGAACAAATATAACAGGGTAATAGAAGAGAATGTGAAAAAATATGAAAATTTTGACAAAAGCTTAAAAAAGGAAATAACATATTGAGAGAAAACG